GAATTCCTGGTCATACATATGGTAGACAAAAACGGTTTATATAATGTACATATATGGCCTTGAAACACATGCATGGTTTGACAGCATCCATCTGTAAAAGGGTTTCCAAAGGCTCTGCCTGTCCCCTTATATAAACTAAATTATACTGAATAACATAGTGTTGACTGATGACATTTCGCTCTTATTTCCAATTTGTATGCTTCTATTAGTTACTGTTTGTTCAACCTTTTCTGAATCCAAGCTGATATGGCTGATGAAATAAGGCTCACGATAAACATGTTTAAAGTTACTTTTGAAGGCTTCCTGCAGTTTTTCTTCCTACTATATTTCCGCTGGCGGTTTTGGTCTACCTGGCCATGCGGCCTTGGATGCTCTCAAATAGATGGTGTCCACATATATTCTCTTAACGTTTTGCAGGGGACAAATTAAAACTTGTATTCTTAAATAATGCGTTACGCCGCATTGTCAATAGAACTTTTGGCAGGACTGATTTTAGAAAATTCCCGTCAACTTGTAATAAAACACTTTTAAATTTTCAGTAGCTTTGAAATTTTTCGTTAAATTCCACCAATAGGAGGACGAATTTCCATTTTCGTTAAAGTCCGCCCAGATAAGGTAAAAGTTTCCTTAATTTACATTCGTAACCTGCGCAACAGAAGTTCATATCGATCGAATTTTATTCTATTTTAGCATATTAAAGGAAACATAATCTTATTTAATATAACATTTTTGAACACTTACGCCACAAACACATATTCATTTAAGTTCACTCGCTAAGAATTAAATGTCTGACCACAAAATACGTTAAGCAGTTGGGCGGGGGGGATAGATATGGATAGGGGCCCTACAAGTCAGTTTTACCCAAAAATTAAATCGAATATTCTGTCATTTCTAGTAATTGAAATGACCAATTGTGACATGTTTGAAAAGTAAACAGTATCTACCGATTTCTGAAGTGTTGGCGGACAAGTATTTGTACACCAGTCAATGTCTGGCAGATTAAAATCACCTACGATTATTTTGACATCAAATTGAGTCCCTGCATTTTTTTATAACAATTGTGAGCACGTGTATGTCGGGAGATGTTCGCTGACCCTGGGTGAGGTCATTGAGGTACATTTTTAGTGATATAGCTAACCCCTACTAGAATAACCGTGAATGAGTGAAGAAGTTGGAAGATTGTGGTAATTCGCCCTACTTAAAACTTGTAAGTAAGCGGTTATTTTCATGGATAATTTGGAAAGCCATTTTACTTAATAAACTGACTAAAGCGGTTATTACATATTGTGGTTATCCGAGGACCCCTCTACAGTTCAATATCATCTTCCAATCCCTACTGGACCAAAGGCCGGCGTCCCAAATATTGAGAGATTGTGGAAAATTCAACCTACGTAAAATTTGTAACGTAGGGGTTAATAAACATGTTCATCCTTTTAGAACCCCTCAATGGATCCCTGCCCCTATTTTTAGCTCACCATTAGTTGCAAAACACCCCTAACTATTGCTCTAAAAGTACAATTTCTGCTAACATTATTACAAATTTTGGCGTTTGATCTGCGCACATCGTTTTTTAGATAGTGCCTTCCTGGTGCTAACAAATATAAATCTCAAATAACCGAGGAGGTCGTCAGTTCCTTCAAGGACACCAAGGCCGCTTTTATGAAAGCCAGCCTGCAACGGATAGAGTTGCTAGATTGATAAGCGTCCCGTTAAATTCGCCGGCTAGACTGCACCTTACAGTTTCCCTGTGGTACCAAACATTTCCGCTATAAAGAGAACTTGATTGCGAATGTCCTAACATTCACCGATATGGACAACACATTGCATCACATGCCGTCCACTTCAAGTAAATAGCTGATGCTCAACGATCGGATGACAAATATTTCATCACGAGGACTTTTCCATACTTCTTTACGATGCCCCATATTCCACTGAGGCTGACGCCATCACTTGTTAGTTATCTATCGTTCATAAACGCCTCTTGGTCCAAGCAACTCTGAGACGTAAGGTCTTCAACGTCTTACAAGTCCTTATCCATTCTGAGCCACAGGCGACAGTAAAACTCGTAAATGACTGATCCATTTCACTTGTCATTAACTTCGTCATTGACTAGTCAGCGCTACCTACAGTGCTGCAATCCAACTGGTTGTGTAGGAGAAATGATACTGTCCCCTTCCATCTAGATGGACCATTCTCCGAATGTAATTCTCTTACTTATTTTTAGTATCAGCTATTTTTCGTCATACTAAGAATCTTATTAATAGTGCATATGCTGTGCCCTGTTAATTCACGTGTTTATGACTCTTTTCAACTCGAATAAGAGCATTAATTATTTTTTTGTTTAAAGTTACCTTGCTTTCGATAAGCCAACCGTTTTCTGCGACTGCAGATTTCGCGATTCTAGTGTGAAAACTGCTTGTTTCATCGTTTTATTTTAATGAGCTTGGTATTGAGGGGCTAGTTTGGTTTTCGACAAGTCTTGTGTTGCTTCTTGGACAGTCGCTCGACATGTGCGATGGTACTCAGCCACTGGTCTACCTTAAAACTGAGAATTGTCGCTGTTTCATCAGCCTACTGAAGTCTGTCCATTTCAGAGATGTAGGACACCATAAATTTCCGCTCTTATGTGATATAGTTAGCCACACTTTTTGTCTCGAAGAATGGTCTGAAGGTGACCGTGGAAGATGCCAAGTGTGTCCAAGGCAGTGCCTTCTTACAAGCAGATCTTTTTGAAGAATTCAAAATTTGTCAGCCGATAATTGCTTTTAAAATAAATCTCAATATTCTTCTGGTAAGCTCTATTGATTTCCAATCTTTATTTCCTTTCTCTCAGGATTGTCTTTCTATATTTGGCACTTCTTATCAGGCTTCTCTTACATCCGCTATCTTAACTTACAAGCAGCATGGAGATACACTGGACTTACTGTATGCCAGCGCCTCTTATTTATATATTTCCCCAGTTTAGAGGATAATGGAGTTGTGGCAGAATGCAATATCAAAACTATGGACGCTCTTCAGATCCTGGATTTTGACTTTTCGAGTAGCAAAGTAACCAGCAAGATTATTATAAAGGTATGATTTTGAGTCTGCTACTTTCCGATTTATTATAACTCAAATCAGGTAATTTTGCTACATTAAAAAACTGCTGCTTGTTCTATTCCTTATTTGTTACGCCCTTATTGTTCATAAAACATGCTAAATCGTTGTTTATTGATTAAGACCCATGTTTGGTAAATGATGACACTTGCATGTGAAGAAACCGAGTGTGTGACCATGTACAAACAGATACGTCGATGCACTCCAAACGTTTTGTGGATAAAGAGAAGTAATATCGGCATACTTATGAAACATCAAAAAATTGTTTATATGGTTTTTCTAACAGTGTTCCGGCAGACACACTTGGCTTTCTGTGATATAGTTATTTCGGGCTATTGGCGCATCCTGAGGAATAGATCGGTGCACAAACAAATAATGTTTATATGGTGTTTAAGTTGCGTTAAATGATGTTGAACAGGTCTTACCATATAGATTTTAGGCCAATGAGGCGATCCACTGCCGTCTTATCTTTGTAATTAATGTCAATCCGGCGTGCTGATTGCATTTAATCTTAAAGCTCACCGTTATTGATTAGCTGTTGTGAAAAACTGGGCTTATCGCTATACCATTAATCCCACCTACCAGTCTCGCTTTGAATCCGATATATCACCTAATGTCTTGCAGTATTTCTAGAAGAGCAAAACTAGGCGGTGGAAATAAACGCAAAAATGTTAGACGGAAGCATAGTAAAATGGAGTGAGGTGATTGCTTATAACTTCCAATGTTAACACTGACAAATGAGGACCCTGATTGTGGTGGAAAGCCATGCACACACTTTCTCAAAATAATTGTTTAAAATACTTAGCACATCCAATAAAAACAAAGAGACGGATACGAAAAAGCATTTCAGAAGAAGGAAACGCGGTTACTTGATGTTTTGGATTCTCATTGGAACTCATTATCAGAGCCAGCTTCAGATAAAGGCAATGAACCGAAAACGGGCGCATTATTAATAGGACGCAGTTGCCATGCAACCGCCCACCTGTCATAAGCTCCTGCATTTTTCGCCCAGGGTTGTGTTGCCGGGTCGCATCAGTGAGCAACAATGATGATTAAATTACAGCAAGTGAAGACTCATATGCTGAAACAAAAGCAATCGCCACACCAAACATTTCCGCAGGTCATGAATTTAGGGCCTGCTGATAATGATAATTATGTGGTTGCAGCTGAATCTTATGAATACCGTGCACATTGTGCGCCGATCATTTTTTCTGTTACTGTCCGTGAGGATAGACTCAAGTTAAAATGCAGAACGTCATGCGACTCAACTCCCTGTTTCAGCGACCGCATCCCCTTCTTCCGAGTTCGTACACACGTTTCCGAACACATGTCTTGTTGCCGTGAAGTACATTTTTCTCTGGTTTGTAGAATTTGGCTTGGGTATAACAGACCATAAACGTCAATTTACTATGTTCTCTGCGCGTTACTTGGCTCTACTTCTTTGGCCGGTAACCATCTTACTGGCATTTTGTTAGTACACTTTCATTACGAAGGCGAGTTAAACGCCAGCAAGCATCCAATAAAAATAGCAAAGCGTTTATGTATTTCTGGCGTTCATATTCGACCAACTGTAGCCGCAATACTCTGGATTGGCACCATTTATCAAACGCGTCTAGTTACTGCGGGTGAATAGTATCACTATCAGTTTATTGAGGGAAAGATAGGCGAACGCCTTTGAACTCC